CCGCGCCGTCCCGGGAAGGGTCCTTGGTGCCTCTGCTGGCACCAAGGGGCCGTGCAGACCCGGGAACGTGCACTGTGGCCTCTGCTGCACCGAGGGGCCCGTGCAGACCTGGGAACGTGCCCCGTGGCCTCTGCTGCACCGAGGGGCCCACGCAGACCTGGGAACGTGCACCGTGGCCACCGCCTCCCTGCAGCCCATTCTCTTCCATTCTGCTCCTGGGATTTTGCTCCCTCCAGCGGGATTTTCAAGCTACAGGGTTGGGGGCGCACACTGCCGTGGGCCGAGTGGGATCCGCACCTTCATCACACCAGCTGCTGGCCCTCAGGCACCTTCACCTCGAGGTTACTCTCAGCCCGAATGCAACGCACACATTTGTCAGGTGTGTTGAGTGTCGTTCTCTGCAGGTGGCAGATTCCAGTTCTGTTTGGAACTCAGGGACTTGGGGAGCGGGTTATGGAGATGGGAACATCCACCCCGGCTCTGCTGGCACTGAGGTGCCCGTGCAGACCAGCCAGCGCAGTGCAGTGAGCCTCCCAGCCCCGAGGTTCACACTCCCCTGCCCCCCTTAAACATGCCCCTGGGCTGCCATGGCCAAGATGCAATTGAAGGGTTGGGGGTAGCTGTGGTCTAATAAAAGCTGAGAGGCTGGCCCCCTCTCCATTTCTGGGGGGCTCTGGAGCAGCCCCAGGCCCCCATCGCCCGGGCTCACCAGACCTGGACGAGCCTAGGCTTCATGACTTGCATTTGCCGGGGTGTGCCCGCTGGTGGCCCTGTGGGAGCTGGGTAAGCCCACATGCTCAGCTCCAAGGCTGTGTCTTCCTGGACTGCCCGCAGGTAGACTGTCTTGCTTCTCCCCAGTGCCTGGCCTTGGGTTCTGCCAGGCCCTCCAGAGATGTGAGTGCCTCCGCTGCCCCTGCCTTCCAGAGGCTGCCATTACACATGACCTGACCTTGTCACAGAGAGGCCGTTGCTCCCGTTTCACAGACACAGGACATGAGCACAGGTCGTAGCCTCTCCGAAGCTGTGGCGGGCAGAGCTGGTCACTCAGGAGTACCCGCAACCCCGCTGCAGGTCTCCTCCCAGCGAGGCCCAAGCCCCGGAGGCCGATGCTGGCCCACCATGGCC